ATGAAGGCAGGATGGAAAGGGATTTCTCATGATCCCTCGAGCAGATCTGAGAACTGACCAGATAGACTTTATAGATTTGTAAGGATTTGTTTCATCCCAGGGAACCCTCTGCTCAAAGGAGCTTAAAGGTGGTCCAGGTTCTCGGCCAGTTGCACAAACTGAATCTGTCCCACCGCCCTGTTTGCATGTGAAAAGGATACATCAAGAGGGCAGTGCGAGGGAGAAGCCGGGTACACCCATGGCTCAGTACCATGGCTAGCTTCATGTTTTGTGATGCAAAAGGCACCGTTTCATTGGCTTTGTGAAAGATTCAGTAGGTTGTTCTGAATGCTGCAGCAGATCAACCCTTGGAGTGGCCATTCATCCATGTGAAGTGGATAAATGCCAATCGGTTCTGCTGTCCGACCTCCTCTCTTAATACAAGGCACCGACCTCTTCTTTGGGTTTTTTTTTCTCAGGTGCCTCGTGCTGTTGATGGATAATTAAGTTCTCCCACCAGGAAGGACTGGATTCGTGCGGGAACCAGACATTAAAATGACATTAAAGCAATGATTCGTAAGCACCCACAATGTTGGAAAGCTGGTGTCGGAGTTGTTCCATCAACAGCAGACATTTTCACTGATCAACATGCTCGGCCTTTTTGATGGCAGTGCCCTGCGCTGCACAAGACTCTGGCGGTTAAGCTATCTCCTCACCGTTGATTCCTTCAGGCAAACCCTGCGGAGAGGGGTCAGGCCAGATCCGCAAAGTGTCTCATGGCCCTGGGCCAAGCCCGGACATGGGACTTAAAACTTTTTAGTTTAAATGTGCATTCGGCATATCCATTCAGCAAACGGTAAAGTTACACGTTGGATCAAAAGACATTTGCCTTATTTGTATGCATTCATCTTTTGTAAAATTGATTTTTTATTGAAACGTGTGGAATCTCTACTTCGGGAGTTCACGTGGCAAAAAAGAGCCATTAGTGTTTTCTTATAAGTTCTTGCTCATGTTCATACCCTCCACCTTGGTCTTAGCCGACAGACTGTAGACTGTACAGGACTTGTGGCATACCCAGGGGACAGCGTGTTTGCGGGTGGGGAATGTGCCTCAGAAACAGCATGTCTAGCGAATTGTTCGATCAACTTGAATATGCCTTGTTGGGGGCCCTTGTTCATTCGGCGTGCCTGTATAACCTTTGTGGAAAATGATGAGTCGAGGTGGCCTGTTCAGTCAATTTCCGCAAGGAAACAGATTGAAGGTCAGGCTATTCCACTTGTCAAACTTCAAAGATGTGACCATGTTCCACTATGCATCGTGACAGTCGTTTTGTCGAATGCAGCCGTTCTGAATTTGGCAGAAGCGAAAGTGGATGAAGTTAGGGGTCAGAGTTCGGTGTCAGCTTACTCCTGACACACTGGAGATCTTATTGACCAACAACCGGACCTGCTGGGGCACCAGGGAAACTCGAATGGTATTACAGAAAGCGACAGAAAACATATAGACCGGGGGCCTCGGGCAACCTGAGCTGAATAGATTAATGAGGTCTTCACGAGACTGAATTAAAACATCCGACATAGATGAATTCAAAGCTTGTTCGTGGGTTTTTACGTCAGGTTGGGGGTGAATATATAATATTGCTCACACCGCCATAGCGGATCCGTGGAATTCAAACATGTATGCTCGTATGATCGTGTTGACCAAAATATGTTTGGTTGGGGGTGGGGCGGCCAGGTTCGTTGGCACTTCTTACATTTTTCAGTTATCGATCATGTATGGAAATGTTTTATATAACTTGGTTCAACAGATCATCAAGCTATATAAAAACAACATTTAGCGATTTATATGGTGAGGTGTTCTTGAAGTGAGGATTCCAGGCATGTTGGTTGTCTAGGGAACCTCTTTTGACAGATTGAACGTTGCCGTTTCGGCTATCGATGCACAGGCCACGAGGGGCCCATAAGGCACAAGGCCTGCAATTCTTCAGTGCTGATTCTGTTGCTTCGCCGTGCAGGTTGCGGTCCTCCTTCCGTTTTGTCAATATCCTTTTCGATGTGTTGGTGACCTGGATTCTTTGTCGATAAGTGCCTTGCTGTCCCTTTCGGATCCATTGGCTGCTGTGGTAGTTGACATTGCTCTTGACCTAGGTCGCCTTTTTCTTGGACTTGTCTATTTTAGATTCTGAGTCCCTTGTTCTCCACAGGCATTGGTCGAACACTGAAAAGATGCGGAACCTGGGCGTTGGAAGACCCCGAGAAGTGTGTGGTTCTCGGAGTGCATGTTTGAGGTGAGAGGAGATTAGTCACTGTGATCGATAAAGCTTGACGGGCAGTGGATACTCAGTCCGCGGTTGATGTTTGACCTATATTTTGTGCAGATTGGCTTCCTTCAGAATGAAGAGCTGGGACGAGGTTGTTCGTCCCTTTTCCCGAAGGAAGCTGAAGTCAGAGTGCCTTTCACAGAATCCTTCTACCTTAGATGTTAACCAAAGATTTGAGGGACTGCGACCTCCACATCCGTCCACTTTCACCTATAGCAAGACAACCACATATTTTGGTGTGTGGACCTTTGTGCCACAGGATTTACTGATTCGGATGGATTGGTCTGTGCCATTTCACCATCCAGCTGGGCTCGATGTCGGCTCCGATCGGGAAGAGGATTCAGAAACCTCCCGACCAAAATTCGGACAAGTTTGACCTCGGCGGGGAGACTCTGTGGAGTCATGTGAAGCCGACCAGAGGCCGCATGTCCGAGGGGCCAGAGGCGGCCAGCGAGTGGTCTGTATGTTTGGTACCAGAGCACTTTGCTTTGGTTCACTGACCACGGCCATCGACGATTTTTCCTGTCGCTTTCGACGCTTCTTTAATCTGGAGCAGTGCCCTTGGGCCGGCGGACGTAAACGTTTTGAGGGAAGCTTAATGGACCGTTTGTGAAGGACAAGGTACTCGATATCCGGCGTTTGAAGTGTCGGGTGCGATTTCTTTTGTGCAGTTCTCGTATTTACTTGTCGAACAAGATGAATTTGCAGTACAGTTACATAAATCGATCCACGGTGCTTCCTATCTTCACTTGGAGGTTTGTTCACAGATAGTATGTCCTTCAAAGAAGGACAGAAATCTCCCTTGCCGAAGTGACTGACTTCCCTCACCAATCTGACGAAACAACCACAGGTCGGGGCATGTGAATACATTGAAGACGAAACACCTTGACTCGGTGAGCAGGTGTGTTTGGTGAACATGTTTACCTGCCCAGTCAGTGGTTAAGCTTCAACTTGTTTTATCGGATGGGCATGATGAATTTTAACTAACCTGGATTGTTGCAGCAAACTGAGAGGGTAAGTATATTAGATTGTTGAGGTGAAAGTGCCTTTGTAACAAACAACTAGCTGAGTACACAGAACCTTGGATGTCCGACGTTGCTCCAGTTCTCCAGCGTTGTCCCGCTTCAGAAGTCCCCTACCCATCGTTTGAAAGGCCTGCCTTTTGGACAGCCCCCGCTGCGGAGCTTCGGGGATTTGTGTCAGGCCTGGGTATTTTCGGCCTTCCACGTCTCAACTTCGAAGCATGTCTCTTTTGTTGTATCCCACCTGTCACGAAGAAAGGGACAAAGGTTTGGGTTTGGTGATCATGGGTGCCTCGTTTCAGTTTAGATGGCTTTTGTAAGCCGGTTCATGGCATGCCTTCTTTGACGATCTTATTTGAGGTCGCTAGGGCCTTCCAGCTAGCTATTCACTATTCGTTTCTTGATCCCTGATGTTTGGAGTAAAAAACTTCCACGCAGCAACAACGACACTGTTCCGGAGCAAGAAAAGTTGAGGCCAGCGAAGACCAAGGATGTTGTCAGATGTCTCATTAAATCGATTCAAGTTGCAAGCTGGACAGTTGGGAAGCATCGTGGAGTGGAACACGGACAGAGTTCTTCGTTCCGGTGATCGCTAAGTAGAGAAAGCAAGCCTTGTCTCAGAAACCTGAAATTTGCTATAACAAAAGGGAATCGCTACTAGGGGCTCCTGGCATCGCTACTAGGAGCCAGGACGCTACTAGGGGCTCGCTACAATCAGCACCGGAGAATGGAGCTGCAGGTGCCAGGCCCCAGTGAACCAGAGACCTTCGTAGACAACACAAGCTGGAAATCCTCCACAAACCGCACAAGCTGCAGGCCAACTTCAACCCCTGTCCGGTGTTAAACATCACGATACCTCCTGAAGCCATGGTCCCAATCGAACTATCCTCATCAAAAGGAGGCAACGACTGAAGGAGTGAACAGTTGCAGATTCAATAGGTCAGACGTGTCCTTACAAGGGTACACTGCTGGTCTAAAGGGTACACTGTAGACAACGGGTACACTGCTGGGTGCGCGGTCCTGGCGCTACCACGATGAATTCTTCCGCTCGAAATGAACCAGTGGCTGCATTTTGAACTGCCACCATGCATTTTGGACGACCTTCCGGCCGGGAGGGTGTTCCAGAACACCAAGCAGGCAACACCGGTCCAAAACAAGTGTGTTCTGTGTTCAGCTACTAGTAGTAATTAATGCCCTAGCTACTAGTAGCGTTCTTGCTACTAGTAGCGATGCCCTTGTTACTATAGTAGCGATGCCCTTGTTACTAGTCTTTTGTTTTTGGGACTCATCCTCTACCTGAAGTCAGCATTTTGGTCAAGAAACCAACCTACTCGAGTAGACCCACAAGAGCCTTGGTTGACAACAGAGGTCGATCTATTCGTTCTGATCCGTGCCCATGTTTGAATGTCCGCAATCTGATCATGCCAAAGATCAGAGCAGGCGGACAAAGTCCTTGTTGGAGACACCTGGATAGACCCGCTGTAGATGTCTCAATTTTTTAATCCACTTCAAGAGCCCCTGCACAAACCCTGGCATGATTCTTTGTTCACCTCAGATGATGTCCAAAGCTTCCTTGTTTCAAGCAAAACTGGCTGTCGCCAGTTAGGTAACCGTCAGGAGATAGAAAGGAGACCAGCCAGGGGTCGTTCCGGCGGTCCCAGCTGTCGCCGTCCGCCCAGGTGCTCCGGGGGAGACCTTCCTCCCGGAGGCCACCGATCCCAGTGGCGACCGCACCTGTGCCTTGGCGTCACCCGACGCGTCGCGACGACGCGTCACCAGACCATGATTGATGGATACCTGGGAGGGCGTTACAAGCAGTTTTTAGGGGATGGCTGAAGGAAGGAATTTGGCAGTTGGGCGGAGATGGATACTATTCCGCTATTTCAAGGTGGAGGGTTCTCCCCGCGACCTTTGGCGCTTCTGGCTCCCATTCTCATTCCCACTCACTCACTCTCTCTCTCTCTCACACACAACGTGCGCGCGCGTGTGTGTGTGTGAACCGCTCTAACATGCGGATGTTGAACTTTCGGAATTGAGAATTTTGTGCGCAGCGGGGCAACTGCCAGCCTTCCCACGTTGCCCAACGAAGCTACGGAAGACTGGTGGAAGCATTCAGGGACGCCTGAATGTGTACTTGCAGATGACAACACCCTACTTTTCTCACCATTCTGGGCCCCGCTTTTTCCTAGAACAAGATCTCCTTTTGATTTCGGCTTCTTATGACTTGATCGATGGTGTCGCCAAATTGTGCTTTGTTTTTAAGTGTTCAAGGACACATACTTAGGAGGTTCTGGGCTTTGCCATCATCCTATTGCTCCACCCTCCCAACTCACTTCTCAGTGTGTGTGTGTGTGTGTCGAAAGCTAGCACTAGCTAGCTAAGTTTGTTCTTGCTTTGGGTGTGGATATATTTTCTGCACTCTTCTGACATATTGTGTCGTATTATCTCTTGCATCTCAAACGTTCTGGATGTGTTATCATTGCATGTGATTGAGCGCTAAGTTCTTACAGAAAGTCCATCATCCCTGCTTTGGCCTAGACTGATTACGCCTGGTGATTTAGCTTCAATGCCCACAAACACAAATCACAACAGTGATCATTGATGCATCGTGCCTTGCAAACAGATCGTCGCCACCCTTGCCAATCATGTGGGAGAATTTGGTTGTTGAGATCAACAGCGCCGCTGCGCTGAGCGCCCTTGGCCGCGCTGAGCGCCCTTGACGAGCAGCGGAGGAAAATGCTGGAGCAGGAGGATTCCACATGCGTAAGTAAGGTGCAATGCAATCCCCCTGTTTTGGGACATCATCGTTTCATGCTTAGTCATGAGGCACGTTTGAACATGACTCGTTTGCACCGTCTGCGTGGCTTGATGGACATTTACGAGAAGGATGTGGAGCCCCTTCTGAAAGGAAAAACGTCTTAAGGCGCCAGCGTGGGTTGCAAACGGCTCTGCAAAGGTCCTTTAGAGGCGTGGATGCTTGAGGACTTCGAGCACGTGGCCACCGATTGTTGTGCTGCAAGGCAGTCAGGCCACCGGAGCTTGAAGCCAGTCTTTCGTTTGTAGAAGCAACCAGCAGTGACATAGCAATGACATGCCATGACCACATGACAGCTATGGACATGATTAGCAAACCAGTGATATGCCATATGCCTTTGTTGCTCGCTTTTCCAGTGGATTTTTCCTGTTTCCAGATTTTTCCAGATCTTTCCAGCGTTTGCAGTTGACGGATGTTGACAGACAACTGGCTGACGTGGCTCGGTCATCGATCAATCCACATCGATTGGCGTGGTGGTGATGCTGGAGCTCTCAGGGTTTTCGGGCGAATCAGAGTTGCCCGCAAGCCCAACCAGAGAAGTTGCATGGACAGCTCACGGAAAAAGGGTGGGCTGAGAATTGCTCACATGGTGTTTGGCATCGTTGTCAAGTGGAAGTGGCCTTCCTTAAAGCGTGGGTGTAATGATGCCATCGCCATCCAAACAGCGCCAGTGGCAACCTCACTGTCATCTAGCGACAGGGAAAGGGACGGCATGGAACACTGGCACGTACCCAACGATGATATCATCGATCAACAGTGCTTTGTGTTTGCCTGTCGCCTGTGTGTGTGTGTGTTTTGGTACAAGGTTCGGGTGTGCTTTATCATCCAGGGTGCCGAGACAGTTGTAACTTGATGCGGCCCTTTGGCTCTCGGAGTAGAGTTTCAGACATCGGCACACGATCTATTCTTGGTTCATAATGCGGACTTATAGAGCGCGTGCTTTGCACAGCCAAAACTTTCAGTTGAAAAGCACCACAAAGGAAGTCTCAGCTGCTCGCACCGCGCACTTACATAGTGCTGCTTTTGCAGGAGTGCAGCATTGCTGTTCTGTTCTTTCCAAACCCATTGCTGTTGAGCCATTCCGAAAGCATTTTTCCTGCGTTCGAGGACCAGTACTTTGGCCCTGCTCACCCCCAACTATCATCATCCACTGTGTGTACACCATTCGGTCGAGGGAAATAGATGTGGGGTGCACACGTGGTCGTGCCTGTGTTTGCCTTTCGATGATCATCCTGAAGATGGACTTCTGAAACATAAAAGGTGTCCAAGTATGACGAGACGGGCGGTTGACTTGAGGTGTTTCGCTCTTGTGTGTTGACCTTGAACTGTTGCAGTTTCCAGCTTGGTCTCCAATGCTGCAAGAGTCTCTTTTGGTTCTCCGAAGCGTTCCTTCCGCCTGGCCCTTCATCCACTTCAGGTGCCGATGCCCGCACCGCACTCGCGGCATCCAGCGGAAGGCGAGGGAGTTCACCATGGCGGACGTCTCGGCTCCCAAGACAGGGTGAGTTCAGGTAGTTTGTCTCGGCAAAACACCGTGTTCATTCCCGTGGTTCATTTAGTGTGGATGTTTGGTGTGCCTTCAAAAGCGTTCTTTTCCCAAGGAAGGTTGTGCAGCCTGGGGAATCTGTGGGCAACAAATAGAACCGCTCATGTGCTTTTACTCCAGGTAAAGACACACCTGTTAAGAAGATGGTTGGCAGGGTTTGAAGGAGTCTTGGTAGTTTTTGTCGACACAGTTTTCTCGTTGCAATCCAGCAAATGACCACCCTGCTCACTGAACCCTGGTTGAGGTATATAGAACCATAGGCCATGCAGGTGCAAAATAGTGGCATCCTTGGAGTGTGTACGTACAACAAGGTCACACATCACCTTTTTTGTGACCTTAGAAGGATATCTTGATATATCTTGAGTCTTCTTTTGAAGAACCGAAGCACCACCACTCTGCCCTGCCGTGGCACGGTTCGCGGCTCGTCCCCAGGTGTGGCGCAGAGGAACTGAAGGAGACCTGCCAGGGACCCGGAGACGGAAGATCCGCACAGATACGCTGGGAAGGTCTGTGTCCATACCGTCGGTGTGAAGGTTTGCACAAGATCCTGCATTTAAAGGGCATAGTTGGCCATAGTGTTGCTATTTGCTGTGGGTGAACATGGTGAACTACCCTGAAAGTTCTCGTACGAGGCATACTGGTGGAGGATGTTTCTCCACACCAAACAGGTGATTCTCTGTGTAGATTTCTCTGATGTTTCATTGGAATCCACAGTGGGAAGAGACATGTTGCGACCTCGGATTAGGGAAGCCGGCAGAGCTCCGAGATTGTTCTGAACAGTCATTGACGTGCTTTCCATGAAACTCAATGCCTGGGGAAGACGGGTTCCAGGCCACTGAACTTGTGAATTTTGGAAAGCGAGACTGGAGGGTAGGATGTTTGGAAAGCCGAGAAATCTGACGAACTCCAAGGGCTGTGTGGCAACTCTCAGATCGTGCTTTCAATACCGTATTGCCTTTACCACATTTTGCCACTTTGGGCTGGCACTAAAAAACGGGTGCTTTCAGACATAAACTCTACGTTGCAGTCGTCCAAAGTGTAGATGCCTTTAGGCATCGGATTTGGTCAGAGTTGGTTGCTGCTGTGTGTGGGCTCGAAACGGTGTTCTCCTTAAAGATAGAACCAGACCTATTGCAAGTAGGATTATATAAACATAACATGATGAAACGATTGATCGGGCTAAACCTATTCGTGGAGGGAAAGTAGACTGCAACCAGTTGCTGGTGTTTGACTTGAAGATGAACTGACGATCCCTCTTTTTAAACTATAAGTGAAGCTGCATCCAGTCCCGAGGCTGCAAATGCAATCTTTGCGATGACGGTGGGCTGAACGGCGAAGAGTTGGCGATGTAGGACGGTCGGTCGTTTTCCTGTGGGGTTCCCCGTTGGGGGAACCTTTGGCCTCCAACGGGGCAAAAGATGGAGATCGGGCCAGATCCGGTGTTTGATGTGAAGCGATCAGCAGTCCAAGACTTTCAGCTGCCCTAATAGCTGTTGGTGATGTTGTTTGCAGTGTTAGCAATTGCCTTCTTATGATCTTTGTGCAGCCTCAAAGGACTCTGTTGTGCGGCATCACTAGTCTCAACTTGAAGACTTACGACGTACGACCAAGAACACACCAAGAACAACAACGACCCCAGTGTTGTTGCGGGCTTCAATTTGGAGATGTTGCACCGTTAGGGGGGGCATTTGCACACAGCCTCAACCGACGCGAAGGCTGTGGATCAAGAGTTAACAGTTCGCCTTCCAACATGGGGCAGTGCATTGTTGCATTTGACAGAAAATCATGTTGTGGGCCTTCTCCAGGGACGACCTGTTTGTTTCCCTAGAGGCTCACTTGACGCCACTAGATCCCTTCAACAGGGACGCCATGGTTTGGTACTATAATGCATGATGTGGGTCTGGGTTGAAACATCCAAAAACCTCCATTGATAAACACGCAGGATGATGGAAGATCTATTCGATGTTAATAATATAATATGTCAGTATAAATGGAGTATGGAACCAACGATCTGTGGTGCCAATATCCATTCTGCGGTGTCCACTCGCCAAACCAGGTGAGAGCTTCTTGCAGAATGCCATCGCTTCGGAGGGACTCTTGACCTGAAAGCGTAAATACTGGCGTGTGTCCATTCTGGTTCGGTCGATGTGGACAAAGCCTTGTACAAAGCCATTGACACTCATGTCATTGTGGGATATTGTGTGGGGATCAGCCTGCGGTCTTGAGATGTTGTGAGATTCCTCTCTTGTCATCGTATCTACCCCTTTAATCTAAGATCGGGTACACAAACGATCGTGGTCAACTATGTGCCAGAAACACTCAAGACATCAAGACAACCTACACAAAACAAACAAGCAGACACGGGGCGGGAAGCAACGCGGCGTTCTCAACTCCAGGGACCGAAAGACAGGCGCATGGACGTATGTTTGCTGACAGGACCCAACAAGTTTCTAGCTTCTCTTAGTTTCTGCCGTCATTTTCACGTGTTTAAAAATCGTGTAGTCGTTTTCCGGTGTTTCTTCCGTGACAGCGTTTTGTTTTTGGTCGACAAGATCGCACCGCCCAGCCGGCCTCTGAGGAGACGTGCGGATGCCCTGCCAAGATGCCCTGCGCCTGGCAGGACCAAGAGAAGGGAAGTGTGTTTTTTGTAAAGTGCAGGATAGTGGAGGATGTCTATTCAGAAAGATTGGTCGACAGGATGAAAAAGAACCGATCGGTCATTTGCAAGGTTTTTGTTAATCTTTGTTGCTTGCCTAAAGCCCCATCTGTCGATTGTTTTTGGAGGGTAGTGACCTGATTGGGGACATCCCGTCCGTTGGTGCGACCGTGAGGGTCGGACCTCATGAAGCCGGGTGCCTTAGGCACACCTGGCCTGGCCCCGGTGAATGGGGTCAAGAAGGTCTGAATGGTCTGAAGGTGACCAAGAAGCGAGTGGTGCCGCCTGGTTGTTGTTTGAAACGAGGTGTGAAAGGGAAAACCCAGGCCCCTTTCAGGCCCTGAAGTATGGCTCTCGAGCTCTTTAAGTCCGAAGAGTCATGGGTGACGTGGAGTTGAGTACTCTGCGCGGTCTTCGGAAGAGGGTCCTTCCGAACTCGGGGCCAGGCCATCCATTTCGATCATGGCTGAGGGCCGGGGGGGGAGTGTACCACGGTTTAAGATGTTCTTACCACATCAGGATGTTTCTGAGTCACAGAGCTGACGAGCGAACAGTGAGCTTGCATCACTCCTGGGCGTGAAACAGGGCAGTCCCTTTTGATTGCTGGTCCATTTCGGATCCAAATCAATACGCCAATACGCCTTCCAAGTCCACGCCATGAATGATACCATCCACGCCATGGATGTCATGTGTTCGTTGTTCCTCCAAGATGCGAAAGGCGCATGGAACGTGTGGAGCACACGAATTGGCTCACAGCTGTTACCCATCGCTTCGGGTGGGTGGTCCTCCATGCCCAAAACCACTCTTGGGATGCAGATCTTGCAGGAAATGCTTCCGTGTCGTGTCGGGAGGTGCGAATGTGGGGGCCAGGGAGGGCAGGGAGGGCAATGGCCCAGGTGGTTGAAGTTGTGAGGCTGGTTGAACTTCACACCAAGAAATAGGCTGCGATGCACCTGCAGCGACTTCCAGTGAGAACCATGCAAAAACAATCTGCAACTAATGAACATTCATTATACCAATAGCACCAATAAACAGTTACTGTATACAGTAATTGAATTTACTTTAGCTTGCATGGTTGTGTATCGGGTGGTTCCGCTGTTCAGCGCGAAGCCTATACCAAAGTACCAGCCAAAGACTAAGCGCAAGCTTCCAGATCGGGCTCGCCCGACTGTCTTTGCCTCCACTCTGTCTTTGTTTGGCTTCCAGTCACCAAGAAAGACTTGCAGGGCTCGCCGACTTGCCTTTGATCCCACATGGGCTCGATCACTGTCTGTCTGACATGACCTCGATCTTTGCGACCGTCTACACCAACATCTCCACACTGAACCCTGCGTCTTTCAGCATGACACCATTGGCGATGTTTTGCCCCTCGAGTCCAAGGTTTGCAACCTGAAATGCATGACGACCCAAAAGAAAAACATCTTTTGAACCGCTTGGGTTAAAAGCCTGCCCTCATCATCAAACATGTACAATATGATATGTTATTTGTCCACAATAGATGTTTTCAAAGGGCTCAGTTGTCTTCTCTCCAGCACCACGAACGACCTTTGTTGGTTGCGGTCTCTCTGCTGGCGCCGCAGGTGAGGGAACTGTCATGACTTGAAGTATGGCTTTGGTCACCTTTCAGGCCTTGCTACACAAAAAGACTGCAACATGAACATGTTACCAAATCAGCCTGGCTACAGCGTCGATAGATGGCATGTTGCTCTTGCCCTTTGACATCCCAAGCCAGCACCTGGTACACATCACTCTGCACTAATCCAAAAGCCTTGATGTCGTTCAGGGTGTTGTCCAAGAAAGCTCCATCGACTCCACTGCTGAACTTCACAATGAAGTGGAACAAGAACGTCGACTCGACTGCCCCAACCTGGGCGTGGTCCTCAACGCGGTCTTGGAGACGTCACCCCAGCACAGGGAACCCACACGCCAGCCTTTTGCTGTGCCACCACACACTGCCAGTCCTCGACAGGTGAGCTGTGTTGTTCGGAGCCACTTCCTCTCTACCTCACTCGACACCACAAGCCAGCTTGTGCCCTCACATGCCATGTAGTACTCAGCATCAATCTCCTGCAACCTGTCCAGGCTTAACTGCTGACCCTTGTGCGTGACTGACTGGAGACATCTGGAGACAACAGTTCAACAGACGCATACCATATCGCCCCAACATCCAAGCAGGGCAAGTTACCTCCGCTTTCTTCAGCAATCTTGTTGAAGTTGCGGGTAGCCTCATTTGAGTGTGACTCTTCAAAGCGCATGCCCCTGACCTCCTCGTGTGAAAAAAAAAAAGCGACACTCACATCATGTATCAGCGAATGAACCTCTCTGCTGTTGAGGCCCAAGCGTCACGGTTCGCGGCATGAACCCCGGCGTCCGGTGGCATGAAGCAGCAAACACTTCAGCACGCCATCCACGCAGGCCACCAACTGGCCTCTTCGGTGTAATTGCCATGACCTCTTGGTGATCTGATCTCAAAAGGAGCTGCGAGTGACCTTTGCAGCTGAGCAGCCGAGAAGTTCATCTCTGCCATGCTCACGTATTGCTGTATGGAACAATCAAGGACCGGCTGGAAAGTCAACAATGCCTCACTGACAGCAAAGCCTTTGCAAGATTAGTCTATCGAGTGAACTTGAACATCTGTCCGTGGAATAACGCAATCAAACATTGGATTGAAATTCAATCGCCTCATTGGAAGCCAAACCTCTGAACAATGTGTGTACGCTCATGAACATCTCCCCAGTGCTATGAAATCATCAACCATTGCTTTGTATTTTATCGACTACCTTTTTTTTTTGTCAGCCAAGTGCATAGCTTTCTGAGGCTCAAGCTTGCTGTGTGAAAGCGCAAAGACAGTGGTGAACAATGGCATCAGCCTTTAGATCAACTGCTGAAAACCGCTGCATCCAAAGTGAAACATGTTGAGCAAATTCCCAGACACCCCTCTAAGTTAGACTTAGGGACTTAGCAACACTACCTAATTGAAACTTAGGTGGGTTGTGTAAATCCCACAATGCAATTCCGCAACTTACGATAACTTCCGTGCAATAGACTTCTGGTGTTTCTGGTCATCAGCTACTCACAACACGAGCAATTCCACTTAAGCATCGCGGGCCCATCCTTCCCCTTTTTTTGCGGGGTTGTGCACAGACCAGGAAATATGTTGTTTGGGCATGTTTGGGTATTTGCTGGGACCCCAATAGGTGTTGAGTCGAGGTTATTGGGTGTTGATACATTTTGTTGTAGCTACCTCTGTCGCCTTCATTTCTCTCGGCTGTGATGCCTTCACTGCTTGGTGTGAGGGATGCCGGGTGCTGCGTACGGGAAATGGCTCGATCAGCTGTTTGGGATACATACCTAGCATAGGCATAGTGCGCAACAAATGCAACACGTGTGACATGGGAAACAGGACGCGAAGCCTTCATTTAGGCTAATTCAGCCAGGGGCGGCCTGGCAATTGTACACCTTTAATTCAGCAGATGAGTGGATCAGAACCCTGGTTCTTTGAAGCAAAGTCTGTGTTTTCCTTTGGAAAGTAAGTTCAGCGTCAAAGTACACCAGTTGATTAGGAGATCATGTGGCGTATTCTGAAATATATTGCAAGCAAACTGTTGACTCCAGAGAACACGGTCAACCACATTAAGCAAGTATATAGATCCCACAAAAAGAGATTATCCAAAAGTGTTCACCCACGTGACTTCGAGGGGCTTGGTCCGGTCAGTGGTGCCGATCAGAGGAGCAGGTTGTATTCCATTGTCGTTGGGACAGACCCCGAAGCAAATTGCCCAAGTTTGGACGTGAAGTCTGTCTTTCACAGGCCAGATCACGTTGGTCTGACAGCTGCTGCGCAGGTGCTGGCTGGGTGGACACTCTTGAGGGAACCCGGTGGTCAGGTGAAGGGTCTTCCGTGTTGTTTTTCTGTGTTTCTTCACAATGGACTCTAAAAACCTCGCAAGATTCAATGACATTTGGATTGGATCATTCAAGTCTCAGCATGTTTGAGTGGCTACGGGAGGGCTCAGATGTCTCTAGCTTTTGGAGCCCACATGTTCAGCGACACACCAGGCCCAGATGAAGCCTCGGAGGCTGAAGCGCATGGCGAGGAGGTGGGAGGTGATGATTGGGGTTCGGGTTTAAAGGTCGCCCAAGTGGCAAGACATCATGTCCAGTACATAATTAAGTACTGACTATTGATTGTTTAATGTACTTGGGGGATCACTCTACAGTGAGAAAATTAACCAACCAAAGAGTTCTTCATCAGGATCTGTGATTCAAACCACCTCATGGTTTGGCGCGTTCTTTTTGACAGGTGATAAATATTGTGTAAATATATATATATACATAAGTCTATATTGTTTGTTTGTTTTTTTGTTCCAATCAGTGTTTGACGGATGTGCCACAAGGTTTGGGCCACAGGGACGCCGGCAATGCTGGCAACGCATGTTGAGAATGCAGGCGTTTCAGAACATTCCAAAGCCCTTGCCTATAGGAGCTACTCGCTGCAGGGTAAGGCAGAACACAACGATATCGGAAGATGAGCTAACCCTATGACTCTAGGGCTGTCGCCGTCGCATAGTTTTTGATGTTTTTTTGGATCTAGATCTCGTTAGAGGCCCTTCCACTTCTGACAGGCATTGGCCAGTAGGTGAGTTGTTACGATTTTGAGGATGCGAAAAGATATGGCACTGCCATAAAGTCCCACGTTCTGAGAATGATCTGTATTTTGTTGGCCCTTTTTCGGCGTCGTGTAGAGAGCGCATGTCCACCACATGTGACAAACTCCGTACAAACCACTTGGATTGGAGCCGAGTCACCTTCGGAGGCCACGCCGTTCTGCAAAAGCCTTTGCTTGAAGACCGACGTCAAAGACTGGAACATGACCTGCGAGGCCAGCGGTCCAGGGAGGCGAGCGTAAGAGATTTGAGTGGCCAGCATGGTAAAGCGATTCATGTCACCAATCTTCACAGAAGAGCCCTTTGACGGCAGGATGAGGATATCATTGTATGTGCCGTGTGGCCATTGCCCAAGAGGATGAGTGTTTGTTTGTGCTGAATCCTTTGTCCTCAGTCACGAGCCGGATTTCGTCAGAGACCTGCCATTATTGAACGCCATAAATTTCTTGGGGAGGGTTTGTGGCCTCTCCCAGTTTCGAAGGCCCTGAAGCAAGTTCAACGACGCTACTAGGGGCTCCTGGCCTTACTACTAGGAGCAAGGACGCTACAAGAGGCTCCTGGCCGTACTACTAGCGTACCACTAGGAGCAAGTAGCTACTAGGGGCTCCTGGCATCGCTACTGGGAGCCAGGACGCTACTAGGGTCTCCTGATACACCTGTGATGAACTTAAGGAGCACTGCAAAGTTGCTCCGTCGTCCAAAGCTTACTCGTTTGGGCAATCCATAGGCAACGGCACGGGAGAACGGAACATTTTACAAAGATGAAATAATTGACAGCAATAAGAACGCTACTAGGGGCTCCTGGCCGTACTACTAGGAACAAGGACGCTACTAGGGGCTCCTGGCCTTACTACTAGGAGCAAGCACGCTACTAGGGGCTCCTGGCCTTACTACTAGGAGCAAGCACGCTACTAGGGGCTCCTGGCCTTACTACTAGGAGCAAGCACGCTACTAGGGGCTTCTGGCCTTACTACTAGGAGCAAGGACGCTACTAGGGGCTCCTGGCCGTACTACTAGGAACAAGGACGCTACTAGGGGCTCCTGGCCGTACTACTAGGAGCAAGGACGCTACTAGGGGCTTGCTCGTATGTACCCAATAAAGATGGTGTTTTTGGGTCCGATCTCCGTTGGGCCCCATGGGCGTCGGCATGGATCAGAAACGCAGACAGAGTCTGGGGTTGGTGAACCTGTACTGGCTGACTCAGCTCTACCCAGTCACGGGCAGGCGTTCCTTACGTTTGGAGTGTCTCATGTGGTTTCGCTGGCCTAGTAGGGATTGTTAGTTGTCCCGTAGTTGGCTAAGTGCAAGTTGGTACAATCAGAATAATTCATGACCCATCTCAGTGAACCCAATGGCAGTCATAGAAGTCTGAAGAGGACTGATCAGGTGGATACTACAAATTGGACTTTGGGGGGAGGCACGTCCTCTATGTATCCAACCCCCGAGCTCTTTAAGCCACCAACACCAGCTGCTAGTAGCTTCTTGTCACTAGTAGCGGTGGCCTCCACCTAGTAGCGTCCTTGCTACTACTAGCTTCTTGTGCGTTCTTTGAAGGAGCTGCAGGAGCTGGAGTGCGCTTCGACACATTTTTTCCAAACCATCAGCGCATGTGAGCGAAGGCGAGTTTGATGCCTGCAGAGAGCGGTCGGTTCGTTTGTACAGACTCATTCGGAACAGACTTTGAAGTTGTGCTGGGACTGTGGTGACTGAATGAGGGCAATCTTCTGGTACTCAGTAAGTAGTGGAATCGTTCTGGAATTTCAAGACCCTCTTAAGACTGAACCCAGTTTAGATGATGCTATCACCAGACTTCTTCCAAGGGAAACATTGAGAACCAGAAGAAGATCAGGGATGCGGTTCGTCACGTTGGTTTTTGCTTTGGGAAATCCAATGCACATGCGAGTGCCCTCAAGGCTCATCATTTTGTTCGGGCACCCCACATGAGAAATCATTGGTTGGCTGAGGTTATCACTTGAGTGTGTTTGACATTCTACACCAAACCGAGCAGATTGTATAGCATGGTTGCCGAGGGCTGACTGAATCGACTGGCCAAATGGTTTCTGCTGCATAAGGATGGGACGAGAACAACCAGACAGGGCAGCTTGAGATAGGGTTCATTGGTTGCTTGGTTTCATAGGGTTGGCCCGAATCTTTTGTCTCCTCGGAACCATGTAGCATCTAGAGATCACACCAGAGCCTTCAATCCTTCCTGTGTGGATATTGAACGAAGCAAAGCCTGCCTTCATGGACAGATTTCGCAGAGGACCGCTTGATGGGTTCAAAGCACCAAGTTAAATAGTCTTGTTCACATGAGGGTGTTAAATGAAAGCCAACTAGATGGCTAGCGTGTTTCAGGGTATGTCTAGTTTGTGTCTCTGGTTAAATCATGTGAAATCTCTCTATGTTCCCCCTGATCCATCCTGTTCCTCTCCCACGCATCCTTGTAATAATAGTTCAAAAAGAAGCCATTAAACCTGGTCACCCTGCCTTCGGGGCATCGGTTTCGTTTGTGGCGATGACCTGGTCATGTTGTGACCACACCAGGCTTTGTGTTTGGTCTGCTCCAAGCTGCACGGTGGCTCCTCGGCCACGCATGTGAGAAGAATACGCGAATGGGCAGAAGCGGAGAGGAGACGAGTAGCTTCTTGTTACTAGAAGCTACTTGCTCCTAGTAGTACGGCCAGGAGCCCCTAGTAGCGTCCTTGCTCCTAGTAGTACGGCCAGGAGCCCCTAGTAACTTCTTGTTCCTACTAGTACGGCCAGGAGCCCCTACTAGCGTCCTTGCTCCTAGTAGCGATGCCAGGAGCCCCTAGTAGCTACTTGCTCCTAGTAGTAGGGCCAGGAGCCCCTAGTAGCTACTTGCTCCTAGTAGTACGGCCAGGAGCCCCTAGTAGCGTCCTTGCTCCTAATAGTACGGCCAGGAGCCCCTACTAGCGTCCTTGCTCCTAGTAGCGATGCCAGGAGCCCCTAGTAGCTACTTGCTCCTAGTAGTACGGCCAGGAGCCCCTAGTAGCGTCCTTGCTCCTAGTAGTACGGCCAGGAGCCCCTAGTAACTTCTTGTTCCCAGTGGTACGGCCAGGAGCCCCTACTAGTGTCCTTGCTCCTAGTAGCGATGCCAGGAGCCCCTAGTAGCTACGTAGTATGGCCAGGAGCCCCTAGTAGCGTCCTTGCTCCTAGTAGTATGGCCAGGAGCCCCTAGTAGCGTCCTTGCTCCTAGTAGTACGGCCAGGAGCCCCTACTAGCGTCCTTGCTCCTAGTAGCGATGCCAGGAGCCCCTAGTAGCTACTTGCTCCCAGCAGTACGGCCAGGAGCCCCTAGTAGCTACTTGCTCCTAGTAGTACGGCCAGGAGCCCCTAGTAGCTACTTGCTCCTAGTAGTACGGCCAGGGGCCCCTAGTAGCGTCCTTGCTCCTAGTAGCGATGCCAGGAGCCCCTAGAAGCTACTTGCTCCTAGTAGTACAGCCAGGAGCCCCTACTAGCGTCCTTGCTCCTAGTAGTACGGCCACGAGCCTTTAGTAGCTACTTGCTCCTATAGTAGTATGGCCAGGAGCCCCTACTAGCGTCCTTGCTCCTAGTAGTACGGCCAGGAGCCCCTACCAGCGTCCTTGCTCCTAGTAGCGATGCCAGGAGCCCCTAGTAGCGCTAGTAGCTACTTGCTCCCAGCAGTACGGCCAGGAGCCCCTAGTAGCTACTTGCTCCTAGTAGAACGGCCAGGAGCCCCTAGTAGCTACTTGCTCCTAGTAGTACGGCCAGGAGCCCCTAGTAGCTACTTGCTCCTAGTAGTACGGCCAGAAGCCCGTAGTAGCTACTTGCTCCTAGTAGTACAGCCAGGAGCCCCTAGTAGCTACTTGCTCCTAGTAGTACGGCCAGGAGCCCCTAGTAGCTACTTGCTCCTAGTAGTACGGCCAGGAGCCGCTAGTAGCTACTTGCTCCTAGTAGTACGGCCAGGAGCCCCTAGTAGCTACTTGCTCCTAGTAGTACGGCCAGGAGCCCCTAGTAGCTACTTGCTCCTAGTAGTACGGCCAGGAGCCCCTAGTAGCTACTTGCTCCTAGTAGTACGGCCAGGAGCTCCTACTAGCGTCCTTGCTCCTATAGTAGTACGGCCAGGAGCCCCTACTAGCGTCCTTGCTCCTAGTAGCGGTGCCAGGAGCCCCTAGTAGCTACTTGCTCCCAGCAGTACGGCCAGGAGCCCCTAGTAGCTACTTGCTCCTAGTAGTACGGCCAGGAGCCCCTACTAGCGTCCTTGCTCCTAGTAGCGATGCGAGGAGCCCCTACTAGCGTCCTTGCTAGTAGTACGGCCAGGAGCCTACTAGCGTCCTTGCTCCTAGTAGCGATGCCAGGAGCCCCTAGTAGCTACTTGCTCCCAGCAGTACGGCCAGGAGCCCCTAGTAGCTACTTGCTCCTATAGTACGGCCAAGAGCCCCTACTAGCGTCCTTGCTCCTAGTAGTACGGCCAGGAGGCCCTAGTAGCTACTTGCTCCTAGTAGTACGGCCAGGAGCCCCTAGTA